CATTGAACCCATTGCCTCCCGTAAATGATTTTACCATCCCTTAGTTAACTTCACTAATGGCGGTAGTGATGACGACAGCCACCGGGAGGAGGATGTGTGCCAACCACCATGCTCAGCATGGTCCAGGCTTATTGTTGTTTCTCTTAGTCATCACAACTACTCTGTGAGGAAGGCACCATCATGGCCTGGTTTTACAGAGGAACAAACTGAGGCTTAGGGGGTAATCTACTTCCCCAAAGGGGTCAGGGTACAGCTGTATGGAGTTGACACCTTTGTCATAAACTCAGAAACTGGGTATATGTGGTTTCTTGCTTGATTTTGAATTCTACATATGTTTTCTCTCTGTTTTCTTGATCAGCCTTCATAGGAATTTATCAAGTTTATTATCTTTTCAAAGAACCAACTGTTGGCTTTAAAATTTTGTGGTATAATTTTTTTCTGTTATAATTCATTGATTTCTGCTCCTAACTTGTTTTTTTCCATCTACTTTTTGTGGGCTTAAATTGTCCTTTTCCTAGCTTTTAGAGATAGATGTTTAGGTCATCAATTTCTAGCCTTTATTTTTTCTATATGCATTTAAGGCTATAATTTCCCTCTAACTACTGCTTTAGCCATATCCCATAATTTTGTAAATGCTATTATTCAGTCATCATTCAATTCAAAATGTCTTCTCATTTTCTTTGTGATTTTCTTTAGGAAATTATACAGTATACTTCTAGATTCATGGATCAGACATTTGGACATTTTTCTATAGTCTTCTGTTATTAATTTCTAATTTAATTTCACTATAGTCAGAAAACTATGTATGTTCTCTATATTATTTTAATAATTTGAAATTCATTGAAACATCCTGATGACTCAGCATCTGACTAATTTTTATAAATGTTGAATGGATACTTGAAATATTGTGTAGTATGCAGTTGTTGGGCACAGTGTTTGATGTACATCAAATACGTCAAGTTTGTTCATGAGGTTCAAATCTTCTATAGCCTTATTTTTTTTCTCTACATACTCTATGAGTTAGTTACAGAGGTTTCTTAAATTCTCCAACTATTATTGTGGATTTGTCAATGTAGATTTCTTCTTTTAGTTCTTTTAGTGTTTTTAAAAATATTTTTATTGATTTCAAAGAGGAAGGGAGAGGGAGAGATAGGTAGAAACACCAATGATGACAGAGAATCATCAATTGGCTGCCTCCTGCACGCCCCCTCTGGGTATTGAGCCTGAAACCTGAGCTTGAGCCCTGACTGAGAATTGAACCATGACCTCCTGGTTCAGAGGTCGATGCTCAACCACTGGGCCACACTGGCAGGCAGTTCTTTTAGTTTTGACTTTATATGTTTAGTCTATGCTATTATATGTCTATAAATTTGGAATTGCTATGTATTCCCGTTAAAATATCCTTCTTATCTTTATGAATCATCTTCTTTGTCACTAATAATAATTCTTGTTTTAGAGTCTACATCAACTGTATTTTAGTTGGCATTAATATGGTTTATCTTTTATATCTTTTTACATTCAGCACTTTTGTATTTTTTTATTTATGGTGTGCCTCTTATAGGTAGCAAATAATTGAATTTTGTTTTATTTAGTATTTCAACCTTTGTATTTTAGAATTTAAATCTCAGCTGGCTGTTGACCAAAATGTGAGAACTTGGAGAAGTTTTAACCTCTCTGACCTTCTCCTTCCTCCCATTTTAATAAATACCTGGGAAATGAAGTTGAAGAAACCTTTAAAGATCAGATAATCTCATTTTTCTTTAAACTATTCAGAGAAAAATAAAGGAAAACTTCCAAATACATTATATGAAACTAGTATCATTTTAATTCCTAAGACTGAGAAAAACAGCACCTAAAAGTTATAGACTATGCTCATTTATGAGTATTAGTGCAATAATATATTTAAATCATAGAAAACAGAATTCAGCAGCATGTTTTTAAAAATACACAGTGGTATATATAGAATTGTATACACAATGGAATACTACTCAGCCATAAAAAGGCAAAATATTGCCATTTGTAACAACATAGTTGGACCGTGTGGGTATTTTGCTAAGGAAATAAGTCAGACAAAAAATGATAAAAACCATATGATTTCACGCATATTAGTATGTGGAATATAAAACAAAAAAGTAGCAAACAAACTCATAGCTATGGACAACAGATTGGTGGTTATTAGAGGGGAAGGGGGTTGGGGGAGGGTGATATGGGTAAAGGGGGTCAAATATATGGTGACAAATGAAAGCTAGACTTTTCGTGGGTGAGCACACAATACAGTATACAGATATTGAATTATAATATACACCTGAAATTTATAAAATGTTATTAACCAATGTTACTTCAATAAAAAAAATATAAAGAAAGAAAAGAAAGAATTTCTTAAAAAGCTATTCCAGAAATACAGGGATAATTGACTACTATGAAATCTAAATAAGTCATCAAATTAATAGAGGTAAGGAGGGAAAAATATCATATAATCATTTCCATAAATGCAGAGAAAGTCTTTGATAAAATTCAACACACATCTTTTTTTTTCACTCAACAAATGTGTAAGAGCATCTGTTCTAATGTAGCACTGAGGATGCAAAACTGGAAAAGATTCTAGTGGAGGGAATGAGGCAGTGAGTGAGTAGGGGACACGCTGGGCCATTTGTTTTTTAAATATTTATTTAAAATATGTATGGATTTCATTAATACAATAAACATTTAATAGGCAAACACTAAAGGTTTTTTTCTTAAAGTCAAAGACAAGACCAGGATGCCCACTATGTCCACAGTATTTAACATTAAATTAAGGGTTAGCTAAAGCAATAAGATAAGAGAAAGCAACTAGAGACATAGGAAATGAAAATAATATCATTGCTATTTATAGGTTATATAAATTGAAACCCCAAAATAATCAATGGAAAAATTATTACAAACTATAGGATATTTAGTCAAGTGGCTGGTTATAAAATCAATATATGAAAATCAATTGCCATCATATTTACAAACAAATGAGTTAGAAGATATAATGGAAGAGAAATTCCATTTATAACAAAAATGAAATATTCAAAATACTTAAAGGAAAACGATAAAATACTCTTGAAAGAAATAAAAGTAGACTTGGACCAATTATTGAAAATACCATGTTGCTAGATAAGAAGGTACAACATTATACCACAGTTGGCTTTCTCTAAGTTAATTTACAAATTTTATGCATTTGTAATAAAACTTCCATAAAGTTTTTTTCTAGAGCCATAAAAGTTGATTATTAATTTTCCCTGTTCCACAAATACTAGTTATTTGTGGAGGAGCAGCATGGGAGGAGCTGGGTTTGCTTTATGCATGTTGTGCTTTGTGGCTACCATATCTCTTAGTACACTTAGCACTGGCCATGCTCCCTCTTCTGAGCCCTGAGATGTGAGTGTCCCCTCAGCAACCAGCATTCCGGAAGCTCACTTGGTTCATTGTGCTGTGTTGCTAGGCTGCTGGCCTATAACGTGCATCTTTCATTGGCCTAAACTGGGCTTTAGACCAGGGGTCCTCAAACTATGGCCTGCGGGCCACATGCAAATACAAATATTGTATTTGTTCCCGTTTTGTTTTTTTTACTTCAAAATAAGATACGTGCAGTGTGCATAGGAATTTGTTCATAGTTTTTTTTTAAACTATAGTCCGGCCCTCCAACGGTCTGAGGGACAGTGAACTGGTCCCCTGTTTAAAAAGTTTGAGGACCCCTGCTTTAGACTCATTGCAGAGGTGGCAGTCAGAGAGTGTAGTTTGGGGAGGACAAACTTCTCAGTGCCTCCTCAATTTTCTCTCTGATATCGCTTCCCCTCCTGACTCCCCAAAAAATGCTAGACAAGAATGCTGAGGTATGAAAGACCATGTCATTTGTTTAAAAAGTGCTGGCCTGGCACTGAATGGTCTTGGTTGTGATGGTGAAGAGTTGGCCCAAGTTTGGTGTTTTATCTTCTTTTGTTCAATTGCTAGCATGGATTTTCAGCTTACTCTCAATAGTAGGCTTTTTGTCCTAAGCTGGTCATTTATGATGAATTGTAGATATTTATATTAGTTATGAAACTACAATATATGTTTTCAGCCCTTTCCCACTATTACTTCTCACTGGGTGTTTTTCTGCTTCCTGGGCATTCCAACCCCTACCTTTCCTTAAGCTATTATCTCTCCCTCCCTCCCTCCCTCCCTCCCTTATTCCTGTCCGAAAGCCTGCCCATTCTTCAGCGCTGTGTTCAAAGGTTCTTTTACAAATCCCCTTCCAGCTGAATGTGAATATTTATCAGGGAAAAATAACCCCTTTATTTTTCAGTAATTCATGTTTGTTCTGTAGCCTCCTGTTCAACTGCGAATATCTTCAAGGCAGGAACTCAGTGTGTTTTTCCAATGTAACTTCTAAAATACTTTGCTGATTGCCCTACACATAGCAGGAAGATGAGACTGAATTTAGAAAAACCAAGGGCTTAATGTAGTCAGTGGCATGGACTGGCATTCCATATTGTCCATAGATCCTACCCTTTGGAAACTATTGAATTGATCATAATCAATCACCAGATCATGCCAGTGGCCTACACAAGCAATAGTGGCACCACTGATTGGAACCCGCTGCTGGTGAGATAACTGGCCCTCATTTATCGGTGTTTTCCCCAGGCCCTTCGAAGCACCTGCAGTCTAGGTGGAGGGTGGGGTATCGACCTGGAGCAGGTCTTCCACCTGGTACCAGCTCAGATTCCACATAAGGAAGACCGGGAGAGTTGGCTCTGCTCATTTGAAACTGCACAACTAACAGTATTTCCCCCTAAGTACCCCCAGCAACAAGCTGTTTACATTTATAGATATGTGTGTGTTGAGAGCTTAAGACCCATCCAGCGTTGCTGAATGTCATGTTCTTATGACATTGTTCACCTTTGTGTGAATAAATGGCGAGTAAAGGGTGAGATGTTTGCAAGTAACTGTGCACATGAATTATTCTTCAAAAACACAAAGCCTTTCTTTTCTTGCAGGAATTGAGAAGCTTTGAAGTCACCAGAAGAGAAGGTAGGAAAATGCGTTCATACCCATTTCATTCTTGTGTTGACGTCTTGGGAGCAGTTTGTTGAAGCTAAGATGAACTTCAGAATGTGGGAAGCCTGTTCTTTGAAATTTCATGTGGCCTTTCCTGGGTGCTGACTATTTGGCATTTGGCTTCTAGGGACTCAAGAACTGAGTGCCTGGTTTGCTTGTGAGAACTATGTTTTCTTCCTTCAAGGATCAGAGGTGGTGGTTGGGGAACTGGCTCACTCATGATTATGTTTACAGTCTCTTGCAAGAAGCCTTATTTCATTTTTAGTGAAGTTTGATATAACTATTTAGTTTCACCCAGCAAAAGCAGCATCAACAATAGAAAATGGTTTATGTTTTGAGGTATTTCAATATCTTGGAAAAGATGCCACTGTGAAAAATATTTCTGATTAGATTTTACAGCTTTAGCTAAGCTGAAATAGAAATAACCAATTACTTTTCCTTTTGAAAACAATTCTGTGATATCCTGTTTTCCCTGCCAGAGTTCCTTAGCACATTTGTTTTCTGGTCTCTGAGGTAAGTATATGGGTAGTAATTTCTGAAATCTTTCTGTGGAAATTTAAGTTTCCCTTATTGTCCTTCAGCAATACCTGGTCTCTAATAAAGGAAAGTCTTTTGTATGGTTTATGAAATCATCACCAGTCATCCCTTAATTGAAGGGAAGATGAAGTCAGAAACCAAAGTGAATTCTTGGTCTAGAATCTGGCCTTTGGTTTTATTATTTTTTTTTATTGTTGACACTATTACAAGTGTTCTCCACTTTCCCCCTCTTTGCCTATCTCCGCCCAGTTCCCCCTCCCCCTCCCCTGACCTTCACCACATTGTTGTCTGTGGCCATGGGCTATGCATATATGCTCTTTGGCTAATATCTTCACCTGTTATCCAGCCCCCCCTCCCCCCAACACCCTCCCCTATGATGCCTGTCAGTCTGTTCCATGTATCTGGTTTTATTTTGTTCATCAGTTTACCTTGTTCATTAGATTCCACATAATAGTAAGATCATATAGTATTTGTCTTTCTCTGACTGGTTTATTTCACTTAGCATAAAAATCTCTAGGTCCATTCATGCTGTCACAAGGCATAAGAGTTCCTTCATTTTTACAGCTGCATAGTATTTCACTGTGTAAATGTACCAGAGCTTTTTTTATCCACTCATCTACTGATGGACACTTAGACTATTTCCAGATCTTGGCTATTGTAAATTACACTGCTATGCACATAGGGGTGCATATATTCTTTCTGATTGGTGTTTTGGGATTCTTAAGATATATTCCTAGAAGTGGGATCACTGGGTCAAAACACAGTTCCACTTTAAATTTTTTGAGAACCATCCATACTGTTTCCATAGTGGCTGCACCAGTCTGTATTCCCACCAACAGTGCATGAGGATTCCCTTTTCTCCACATCTGCACCAGCACTTATTGTTTGTTGATTTATTGATGGTAGCCATTCTGACAGGTGTGAGGTGATACCTCACTGTGGTTTTAATTTGTATTTCTCTGATGATTAGTGACATTGAACATTTTTTCATATGTCTGGCCTTTGGTTTTAGATTAATTACAGCTTCTCTGTGGCAATGTCTCCAAAAAGTGGCAATCTTTAAAAAGTGAGCAAATTCCATATTGACTCCCAAATGTAACATATTTCTGCCTCCTGTTTAGCTCTTATTTTGTATACTACAATGAAAGACATAGAATGGCCATTTTGTCAAAGTGTGTTTCTAGAGCTTAGAGACCTAAACTTCCCACACTATCTATATTAGTGGACTATTCCAATTAGGTGTTTGCTGCTGTCCATGGTGCTGGAACCTTGGATTCAAAGGAGGTAGATAATCTGGTTCTAGGATGAACGTCTGGCTTCCATTCCCATTTGCTATTGTCTCTGGCTTGCTGTTGTCCATGTCCTCTGAATTGCATCCATAGGTTAAAACTTTACTATTTGGGTAGCAAAACTAAATTAAATTGGATGAAGGTGGGTGGGGCAGGGAAGGCACGTTTCTTATTGAAAGTTGTGTTCACAATGGGTGTGATGACCATGAGTTGAAGAGAAATAACCACAAGGAGAGAAGGTGACATGCACTTCGGTTTTGATTACTATTCAATTCATGTCAGTATTTCTAAGTGTGAATGTTTGGAATTAATTTGCATTGTGGAATCACATTATTTTGGAGTCTTCCTGTCCTTCCTGTGGTAGAAATGTTTCTAAATAGTAAGATTGGGGTACGAGAGAACTATGTGTATTTTTCTCAAAGACATAAAACAGTCTGAGGCTGTCTGAGGATGAGCAAAGGCTTGGCCAGGCTGTACTCTACTCATCTTGAAGCAGCAGCTTTCACACTGGCTGACCAGCACTTCCTTTGGGTTTGTACTGGCAAATTTGTCTTGACACCACATAAACGTTTTTCTTCCTGTTTGCACTGATGTCTTGCTTGCTTGTTTCTGTCAAAGTTGAGTGTTTGAGAATTCCTGAAATAGCCCAGTGCCTTAATGTCAATGCTGATAACCTGGCAGCAAGGAAGGAAAAGTGAACCTTGCAGGTTGCTTGCAAGTTATTTCTCTGTCTGAGAATTCATGGGCTTGGGCAGTGGGGTTGTTAATCTTTTCCAGAACAGTGTAGGGGTATACAAATAATAAAGGCACTGTGAACATTTTCATAAAGTATTATTCCTCAAAACAGAAGATATTGTCTACCCACAGATACTTAAGTTTGGGGGCCTTAGCTTTGACTTTGAGCTAGGGCTGAAAGAGAAGCAAATAAGTCACACTCGGAATGTTTCTGTCCAGTGTACTGGGCCCAGCAGGTTCTGGAGAGGTAGCCTCTGGATCACAACATCTGGGATATTTTCATGTTTTTGTTCTGTGTTGTTTAAGTACTATTCCTGACTCAGGGCTACAACTGGATGACCAGTTGCAACTTCACACTATATGGCTCCTGGACACTCTTCACTAAGTCTGTGAAGTGATAGGGACTCATATCAGTAGTGGAACTGGAGTCCAGGCTAAATCATAGTGGGGCTGGAGACTGTTAGTGACATGACGCACTGTTTGCCTGAGACCTGCTCTCTGCCGTGTTTCCCCCTATGGTCCTCCCAGCCTTGGGTCCAGTGTTATGGTCCCAGACTGTAGCCCAGCCTCCTTACCTCTGGCTTCACTCACATTGTTCCTACAGCCTGCATGCTCTTTCTTGTAGGTAGTATTTAGGATACCCTACCTTCTCTGAGACATCAGGGATCCTATTAGGTCAACCATTTCCTGAGAGTAGAGACCCTCCCCTCATTCACCCCCAGATCCCTCACAACCCTAGCCCAGGCCTGTAACTACTCAATAATTGTTTCTTGACTTAAATGCAAGCTACGTATTGCTTTGTATGGGTCCTAACCCAATGAGTGATGTCCTGATCAGAAGGGGAGAATTTGGACACAGACACGTAGGGAGGACACCATGTGATGATGGAGGCAGAGACTGGAGCAGCGAGTCTATTCGCCAGGCATTGCTGGCAACCACCAGAAGCCAGGCAGAGGCAAGGAGGCTCCTCCCTGCAGCCTTCAGAGACAGCAGGGCTCTGCCAACACCTTGGTGTCTGACTTCCGGTCTCCAGAACTGTGAGAAAGTAATTTCTCTAGTTTTAAATCACTGATTTGTGGAACTTTGTTACAGCAGCCCTAGGGAAGTACTGCACCAGGCAAATGCCGGGCTCAGAATTGAGCTAGTTTTGCCATTGTTGATGTTTTACTGCAGAACCTCTCAGGTCTTTAAAGTGCTAAGTCTGACTGTCCACAATGGGGTGTAATATGCAGCATTCCCCAAGCTTAGCTTCCCAGGGCATCTCCGTTTTGTTGTTTTTTAACATGTTGGGACTGGCATGCAATGCCCTTTGCAAGCCCTGCTGTAGAGAGTTCAGGGAGAAGGAGCACTTCCTCAGTGCCCAGGACGGGATGCCCTGGCACCAGTGACGTCAAGGGCAGTGCAAGGACAGGATGGTAGGGTAGTAATAATGATAATCACTTCTCGGTTGCTCTGAAGTTCTCACAGACCTTTCACTTTTTTAAAATCCTCACCTGAGGATATTGTTTCCATTGCTTTTCAGAAAGAGTGGAAGGGAGGGAGGGAGAGAGAGAGAGAGACATTGATATGAGAGAGACACATCAACTGGTTGCCTCTCACATGCACCCCGACTGGGAGGCAGGGAGCGAACTGCAACCTAGGTATGTGCTCTTGACCAGGAAGTGAACCCATGGCCCTTCAATGTGCAGGCCAACACTCCAACCACTGAGCCACACTGGCCAGGGTGACCTTCACCATTCTTTACCTCCCGTGACTCGACTCTCAGCAACCCAGGTCTGCCGCGGAAAACTTCTGTCCTCTGGGGAGGTGCTAATCTAGCCTTTGCCTGAGGCGATCTGGCAAATGGCTCTGCGCAGGGCTTGGGCGGGGCGGGCTCAACAGGGCGGGCGGAGGGAGCCGTTATGGTGCCCTCAGTCCTGTTCCCAGAGGCTCTGCTTCTCAGAACCCCCGGAACCGCTGCAAACCTCGGAGGGAAAGCTGCCTTCCAACTGATGCCAGACACTCCCGCTTCTCCCGTTTGGGTCCGAGTCCCCAGCGATTCGCCCGTATCTGGAGCTCAGAGTCTGAGACTCCCCCCTGACCGAAAACGACAACCGCGCTCTCAGCCACCAGCCCGCTTTGCGCGCGCACCTCCGCACCTGAGTATTTTCCACACTGCGCCTCCTCTGAGCCTCGGTGTGCTGTTATTTTTCCTTCTAGTTGAAGAGTCTCTCCTCAGCCAGCCTTCCTGTGGTTCTGGGTGATGTCCGTTCCGTCTTTTAGTTGTATTTTTGAAGTGGTTGTTTGCGGCAGCAGTCTGCGGTGTTTACCTATGCCGCCATCTTGGTCGAGCCTTAGGTATGTGCTCTTGACCAGGAAGTGAACCCATGGCCCTTCAATGTGCAGGCCAACACTCCAACCACTGAGCCACAC